CATCTTGCACCAATAGGACAACGTCAGGGGCATTCTTATCAGGGGGTAAGGCCCCGGCCTGCAGTGCCAGCGTCCCACATGGGCGTCAGTTCAAGTCCCGGCTGCTGCACTTCCCATCCAGCTCTCTGCTACGGCCCAGGTCTTTGGGCCCCTGCACCCACGTGGGAGACCCGATGGAGGCTCCTGGCTCCTGACTGGCACAGCTGTGGCTGTTGCTGACATCTGGGGCGTGAATCAGTGGATGGAAGACCTCTCTCTCTCTCTGCCTCTCTGTGACTCTGCCTTTCAAATACATAAATAAATCTTAAAAAAAAAGACAACAATAGGCTGGCGCCGCGGCTCACTAGGCTAATCCTCCGCCTAGCGGCGCCGGCACACCGGGTTCTAGTCCCGGTCGGGGCGCCGGATTCTGTCCCGGTTGCCCCTCTTCCAGGCCAGCTCTCTGCTGTGGCCAGGGAGTACAGTGGAGGATGGCCCAAGTGCTTGGGCCCTGCACCCCATGGGAGACCAGGATAAGTACCTGGCTCCTGCCACCGGATCAGCGCGGTGTGCGGGCCGCAATGCACCGGCTGCGCCGGCCATTGGAGGGTGAACCAACGGCAAAGGAAGACCTTTCTCTCTGTCTCTCTCTCTCACTGTCCACTCTGCCTGTCAAAAAAAAAAAAAAAAAAAAGACAACAATGTCAACTCCACTTTACAATTATGATTACAGATCTCACAGCAACATCTGGTCTGTGTTTTTGCTCTGCAGACGGACCCTGGCTTGAGGAACAGTCTATGCTAGAGTCTGGGCAAAGGTCGAATTTGCAGCCCTACCAATGAGGCAGAAAAGGGAACTCCAGGAGCAGCAGTGGTCAGCCTGCCGGACGCAAGTCACTGAGGTCTGGGTTTTACAAAAGCCATGGACACCTCTGCAGCATAGGACGAGGCATGCTGTACCAGTCGTGTTCTGAAAAGTCTGCAGTGGAGGTGAGTGGCAAGAGCGCCTGCGCCAGCCCAGGATGCGGTGTCCAGGGACTCAGGAAACGGGAGAACCCAGACACCGCGGGGCAGGACGGCCAGGGCCTCAGTTCCCCGAGGGGGACGGCCAGGGCCTCAGTTCCCCGAGGGGGAGGCTTCTGGGCTGGGGTCCTTCGGGCAGCAGGAAGAGAAAGCCGACGCCGCTCACACCCTGGCCCCACCCTGCAGTTCAGTGCCACCCAAACTGCACTCCCTCCCGTCCTTTCTGCTGCCTCCGCCGTGCCGGGTCACCACAGGCCGAGGCAAAGGGGCTGCAGCTGCTCCTTCCTTGGCGTCTTCCTTCCACTGTGGCAAGAAGGAAAGTGCCGCCCGTGGGAGCCCTCAGACGGCCACCCAGGGCCTTCACCAGCCTGCCCCCCAGAGCCCCACCCCCAAACTCCCTTCCCTCAGAACTCCCGGGATCCTAAACCACCGGCCCTCAGAATCCCCACGGCCCCAGAATGCCTGTCCCCACAGAGCCCACACCTCCCAGAACCCACGTCCCACAGAGCCCACACCTCCCAGAACCCACGTCCCACAGGGCCCACACCTCCCAGAGCCCACACCTCCAAGAGCCCACACCTCCCAGAGCCCACGTCCCACAGGGCCCACACCTCCCAGAACCCACGTCCCACAGGGCCCACACCTCCCAGAACCCACGTCCCACAGGGCCCACCCTCCCAGAACCCACGTCCCACAGGGCCCACACCTCCCAGAACCCACGTCCCACAGGGCCCACACCTCCCAGAACCCACGTCCCACAGGGCCCACACCTCCCTGAACCCACAAGCCCACACCTCCAAGAGCCCACACCTCCCAGAACCCACGTCCCACAGAGCCCACACCTCCCAGAACCCACAGAGCCCACACCTCCAAGAGCCCACACCTCTCAGAACCCACGTCCCCACAGAGCCCACACCTCCCAAACCCACGTCCCACAGGGCCCACACCTCCCAGAACCCACGTCCCCACAGGGCCCACACCTCTCAGAACCCACGTCCCACAGGGCCCACACCTCGCAGAACCACGTCCCCACAGAGCCCACACCTCCCAGAACCCACGTCCCCACAGAGCCACACCTCCCAGAACCCACATCCCACAGAGCCCACACCTCCCAAACCCACGTCCCACAGGGCCCACACCTCCCAGAACCCACGTCCCACAGGGCCCACACCTCCCAACCCACGTCCCACAGGGCCCACACCTCCCAGAGCCCACCCACAGGGCCCACACCTCCCAGAACCCACGTCCCACAGGGCCCACACCTCCCAGAACCCACGTCCCCACAGGGCCCACACCTCCCAGAACCCACGTCCCACAGGGCCCACACCTCCCAGAACCCACGTCCCACAGGGCCCACACCTCCCAGAACCCACGTCCCACAGGGCCCACACCTCCCAGAACCCACGTCCCACAGGGCCCACACCTCCTGAACCCACAAGCCCACACTCCAAGAGCCCACACCTCCCAGAACCCACGTCCCACAGAGCCCACACCTCCCAGAACCCACAGAGCCCACACCTCCAAGAGCCCACACCTCTCAGAACCCACGTCCCCACAGAGCCCACACCTCCCAGAACCCACGTCCCCACAGGGCCCACACTCCCAGAACCCACGTCCCCACGGGCCCACACCTCTCAGAACCCACGTCCCACAGGGCCCACACCTCGCAGAACCCACGTCCCCCACAGAGCCCACACCTCCCAGAACCCACGTCCCCACAGAGCCCACACCTCCCAGAACCCACATCCCACAGAGCCCACACCTCCCAGAACCCACGTCCCACAGAGCCCACACCTCCCAGAACCCACGTCCCACAGGGCCCACACCTCCCAGAACCCACGTCCCACAGGCCCACCTCCCAGAACCCACGTCCCACAGGGCCCACACCTCCCAGAGCCCACGTCCCACAGGGCCCACACCTCCCAGAACCCACGTCCCACAGGGCCCACACCTCCCAGAACCCACGTCCCACAGGGCCCACACCTCCCAGAACCCACGTCCCACAGGGCCCACACCTCCCAGAACCCACGCCCACAGAGTCCACACCTCCCAGAACCCACGTCCCACAGAGCCCACACCTCCCAGAGCCCACGCCTCCCAGAGCCCACGTCTCACAGGGCCCACACCTCCCAGAGCCCACGTCCCACAGGGCCCACACCTCCCAGAGCCCACGTCCCCACAGAGCCCACACCTCCCAGAGCCCACGTCCCACAGGGCCCATACCTCCCAGAGCCCACGTCCCACAGGGCCCATACCTCCCAGAACCCACACCCCATAAAGCCCACATCCCACAGAGCCCACACCTCCCAGAGCCCACGTCCCACCAGAACCCACGTCCCACAGAACCCACACAAAGGTGTCCGGCGCGTAACAGATCTTCCAGCAGAGGAATGGATTAATTCACAGGCTTTTATTGGGGTTCCGCTCCCAGGCGAGGTTCCCCAGTCCCAACAGAGCAACAGAGCGGGGCTGGGAAGTGAGAGGTTGGGAAGGCTCCTCTTACAGATTCAGGGCATGGGGGTTAAAGGTTGAGGCGGGTTTGACCTTGAGGCACCCGCAGGAACCTTGACAAGGACTTTCTTCCCCGGAAGTAGAGGCCTTCCCTCCTTGCGGGTCCCAAAGCTACCATCAGAGCCCACACCTCCCAGAACTCCTGACCCTGACCCTGCAGAACCCACATCCCAGAGCCCCGACCCCACAGAGCCCCGGCCCCCAGAACACCCCTCCCCTCCAACAGCCGTCCCACAGAAGGCCCCGGCCCCACAGGACACCCCATCCCCACGGAACACCCCGCTGGGGGCTGCTGACTCTTCACAGCCACAAGAGGTTTCGAGCTGAGGCACCCGCGCTCCCGGGGCGGGGGTGGGGGGTGGGGGGGTGCAGAGGCGCGGGTCTGAGCGCGGGGTCCTCGACCCGGGTGCGCGGGCGAGGGGGTGGGACGCAGCCGCGGTGCGGGAGCCCCAGCGGCCACCAGGCCTCCTGGACCCTCGGGTGCCCGGGTCGGCTGCTTTGACTGAGGGAAGCTCAGGTCAGGCTGTGCGTGAGGGGGCTGGGAAGGGGGCTCCTGTGCGGCTGCCAGGGGCGCCCCGGACGCAGCGTGTGCACAGCCCAGAGTCTCGCCGAGCAGATGGCCTGCCCTCCCCGCCCCGCGCCCGCACCCGCACCAGGTGGCCCGGCCCTCCCCGCCCCTGCGCCCACACCAGGTGGCCCGGCCCTCTCCACCCCTCGCCCGCACCCGCACCAGGTGGCCCGGCCCTCCCCGCCCCTGCGCCCACACCAGGTGGCCCGGCCCTCTCCACCCCGCACCCGCACCCGCACCCGCACCAGGTGGCCCGGCCCTCCCCCCCCCCCTGCGCCCGCACCAGGTGGCCCGGCCCTCCCCCCCCCCCCCGCCACCCGCACCAGGTGGCCTGGCCCTCCCGCCTGCGCCCGCGCCCGCACCAGTGGCCTGCCCTCCCCGCCCGCACGCCGCACCGGGCCCCACCCGCACCAGGTGGCCGGCCTCTCCACCCCCCCCCGCACCCGCACCAGGTGGCCCGGCCCTCCCCCCCCCCCCGCACCCGCACCAGGTGGCCCGGCCCTCCCCGCCCCCGCCGGTGCGCCGCAGGGGCCGAGGCAGGGAGGAGTCGTCGTGGGCCCAGCGGTGCCCCGCAGCACGTCCCCGCGCCCGTCCGTGCCGTCCACCCCGCCGGGCCTGTCAGGGGAGCGTGGCGGCCTCGCTTACCGCCTCTCCTTGCGCAGACACGAGAGCCTCCGACCCGCCATCTCCCGCAACACTTTTATTTTAAAAAGTAATTTGTTTAAAAATCTTTTTCAAGGCGGAGAGCGAACACCCATTGCCCGTCCCATCGCACTCCCCAAGCGGCTGCGACAGTTCCATCCGGGGCCCCCATGCACTTGCGGCATCACAGCGGCGCCCCGCGGCTCGCCCGAGTGGGACTCGAACCCGTGCCCTCCGATAGAGGACGCCGCCCCCTTTCCAGGTAGAACACGTGACACTGCGAGCTCTTGACTCCGTAGGACCCTGAGCTCTCGCGAGAAGTCCTCCCGTGGACAGCGGCCGCAGCCGTTGTCTCGCGAGAGGACGGGGCCGCGTTCTTCCGGGTGAGGCTGGTGGGCGGCCGGGCGCAGCTCCGCGCGGTGCTGAGGGCGGGATTCCTGCGAACCATGGCGTCCGCGTTCTCCGTCAGCGCCTTCCCCGTCAGCATCCCCGCCGTGATCATGGTAACTCGGAGGCCTGGGGCTGCGGGGACCGGGCTGGGAGGCGATGCGGCCCCAGGGGCGGCGCCGTGGGCGCGGGTTGTGCGTGGCCGGGTGGGAATCTCGCGGCTCCTGGAACTCCGTGGGGCCGGGGTGCCGCAGGAGCTGTGCCCGCCGTCCCTTCTCGGGGGCCCAGGAGGGCGTGGGAGGCCCGAGGCGGCCTGCGCTGGGCGGCGGTGGCCCGGGGTCAGGGCTCAGGGACGGTGGGAGCGCGGCGCCCCTGGGCGGCTGGGGAGGGCCGAGGCAGCCGGGGCTCGGGGCTCGGGTGGCGCAGACTAGCCGTGGCTGGGGCGCTGGTCGCGGGTTTTGGGGCGCTCGGCCTTGGACAAGTCGCTCGCCTTCCTTGTCCTCTCGGGACAGGAATCGCTCAGATCAGCCCGGCTTCCAGACGCGCGGCTACCGCGGCGAGTCCGCGTGCCCCCAGCCCCGTGGGCTGACTGCACCACGCTTCCGGGCGGGAACTCCTAGCCCGCGGGGTTGCGGGGCCTGCGCGTCGCTAACGGCCTGTTCTGCCCCACAGCAGACAGACTGGACCGAGCCGTGGCTCCTAGGGCTCGTGCTGTTCCACGCGCTCTGCCTGTTGCTCACCTGTGTCTCCTCGCAGAGGTACAACCTGCAGGTCGGACATTTCCTGTGTCTAGGTGAGTGGCGCCGATCCGCAGCCCTGCACCGGGTCGCCCGGCGGCAGGTGCTGTGCCCCGCCCCGCCTTACATCTGGCCTTCCGGGAGGAGTCTGCTCTGACTCCGGGAACTCGGAAGATGAAGTACCTTCAGCGCTGGACTTGAGGGGTCTACCGAGTACCTTCTGCGGGCCAGGGAGGTGCTAACCGCGGTCTGCAGGGACGCGTGTGGCTTACTGCGTGCTGACTGCCTTTTCACGGGGTGCTTCCTCCGTGATCTTAGTCCTGCGTTGCTTGCTCTTGGGAGAGGAGTGCACACTTGAAAGCGAAGTTCGGAGCATGAAAGAATTTTCCCAATTAGTTTTGAAGATAAGAGCTACAGGAATGCAGAGAAGTAGTAGATTTGCTTGATTGGCAAAGGTTTCACAGAAAAAGTAGTCACCCAGTGCGTGAAGTGTGGATACAGGTGCCCACGTGAGGGCAGCAGGCAGCAGCCCCTGATGCCCAGAGACCGGGCTGGCGGGAAGGAAGCACGGGTCAGGGTCAGGGTCAGGGTCAGGAGCCGCCAGCCCTGCAGGAGCTGAGCCTTCCTGGTGCAGCGTGCAAGTGCTCTGCACACAGGTGTGCTGGGGCCGCGCACGGTCGGTGCTCCTGGGTTTGCGACCTGGGAAGGGTGCTGAAGTTTTGCTTGATTGTTAACCCCACAGCTGACTTGGATAGATTTGGTTAGTTGGCTGTGTGCAGGGTAGGAAATCTGGACAGATTATTAGAAAGGACAGAGTGAATTAACGGGTCTGTATTACAGAGATAATCCGTACAAATAATGGATGGGCAGTGCTGTTACTTTCATTTCTTCCCAAGAAATTATTTATTAGGAGTGTGCTAAGGAGTGCTAGGGTAAATGGTGCCAAAGTGCATTTGCTTCTTCACTTGACAGAGCTCCACCAGGTCCCCAGCACATAGCAAATGCTCACCACTAACTCAGCTGTTGCCACCTGTGACAGGCACACTGAAAGAGACTTCAGCTGTTGCCACCTGTGACAGGGACACTGAAAGAGACTTCAGCTGTTGTCACCTGTGACAGGGACACTGAAAGAGATGAGCACAGGAGGCGTGACGAGGGCCTCATTTAAAACGCTGCACTTTCACCTACACTGGTTGTAAAGGATATGTGGGAATCGGCCAGGCGAAGTCTGGCAGGAGGTGTGGACTACCCACGCCAGGGAATACG